AGCTCATTTTCAGTGATTCGTAGTCATGCCAAATACATCACAGTAAATATTACGCTGTTTATAAATAAATCAGTATTCAACCATAAAAACGTAAACAAATGTTTCGGGAAAGGGAAAATAACCTCATGGGTACATAGGCCGCAATGTCCGGCGTTTGTCCGAACGAATCCGTGAACACCACCCCGCATGGCTAAACACAGGAACGATTAAGTCACTCATTAGTGCAATGGTTTCACACCTAGTTGAAACAAATCACACTGTGAATATGACCGAGGCATTCCGTCCCCTGTATCGGGTTCGCGGTCGATTATCAAGGCAGGTTCGCTGTCATATGCTAGCCACAGCGGAAGCGGTAGGAATTCGGCTGCACCATCCCCCTCTGTGCCCAAAAACAATTTGTGCAGGCGCTCAAGCTTCCCTGGCCCACTCCCTGCACACCCCATATTCCGAGTGATCCCAACGATCGGATGACCTAACAATTATGTGATCATTGAGAATTCCATATCCGGTGAACTTAGCCCCGGATAACCCATGAGGTTATTTTCCCTTTCCCAAAACATTTGTTTGCGTTTTTATGGTTGAATACTGATTTATTTATAAACAACGTAATATTTACTGTGATGTATTTGGCATGATTACGAATCACTGAAAACGAGCTTGTTCGCCACTCCTTGTTCTATTTGAAATGTGCTGTGGGACTGTTTAGACAAAAGAAAGGGATATAAGGGATGTTTCGCTGGCATTGAACGGAAAACAGCTGCGACAGCCCGAAGCAGAAAAAAGGCCCATAATTTAGGGAAAACTAAGGAAGGAGTGGTCGTCACTAATGCTGGAGTTAGCGATGCTTGCGGAACACCAGTATTCACAGGCACGGAACGAGACATGGTCCCAGTTACTCGAACGGAGATGCTGCGGTCCTCGAGGTAGCTTGCTGTTCACGACACAAGTTCCGAAGTGAGGCCAAACTGGGGAAGCTTAGCCAGCAGACCAGGGTGCCGGACACGATATATCCAATGACACCGCATGCGTTTCTCCGAGGCTGTCGAGTGCAGCTGATCATGTATGCGAAATGAGCGACAGCAGATCACCGGAAACCATAATGGCGGTCGTTAAGCATCTTCCTTTGCTCCAGGTGGTGACGGAGTTGATCCCAACCTTTGTTTAATTCTTTGTCTTCAGTACCCAGCCCTCTCCATTTTCCCCTTCTTTCGACCTGTAATAATCTCTCAAGCAACTTGGATGTCCCTCGTCAAAGTTCGTTGCCAAATAGAACTGTAAGTAATGTATCACGAAACGAATTGCAGATTCTAAAGCCCCGTCAATCACTTAATCTGGAGGCCTTCAACGTGAGGATCCTCATATAGGTAGGTCAACAAGCTTGTCTGGCTCGTACAATGGAATCCTTAGGAATCGATATTTGCTGCATGTCGGAGACTCGAATCCAGGATCCTACTTATATAAGCCACTTGAGCGTGCCAGATTTGTCTTCGAGGTACGTTCTTCGCCCATTAGGCGTCGATGAAGCTCTTTCAGTAGGCCAGCATGGGATAGGTATTGCACTCAGAAACAGGGAGGAGTCTTCTCTTATGGTTTGGATCCCCGTCAACAGTCGTTTATGTGCAGTGCGTCTCCAGGGTTCGATCAAATTCCGGAAAGGAAGCAACACCAAAAGGTGTTTGTTCATCGTATCAGAATACGCACTGACCAATTACAGTTCTGATACCCAAAAAGACGCCTCCTACAATGAACTCACCGATCTCATTCGGCAGCTGCATCAGGGAATAGTCAAAGACTGTTCCGACTGATACGCAATACGGGAGGTCGGCGAACTCTAGTTAGTGAAACAGTCTGTGATAAGATGGGACAAGTTATTCACAATAGAGATCAACGACTTGAGTGCTGGACAGAATACTTCAGCGAACAGTTCAGCTGGCCTAGTGCTAACCAGGCTGCTTCATCTGCAACTGAAGCTCCTTGGGAAGTATCGTGTGATCCTCCAACAGAAGCAGAAGTTCGATCTTGCATTCAAGCTCTGAAGCGAGGCAGGGCAGAAGGACCTGATGAGCTCCCTCTCACTCTTTTCAAGATGGGAGGTGATAACCTTGTGAGCGCATTTCTTCATCTTGGGGCGCATCATTGATCGTTATCATTTTCAAGAAAAGATCCCACAACAAATGCAAAAATCACCGCGGGACCAGTTTGATCCCGATCGTCACCAGTGCTAGCAGCGGTTATACTTCGACGTCTGACGCCGTTAAGAGAGGCCAACATCCGTGAACAGCAAGCCGGATTCCAGCCTGGGCATGGATGTATTGATCAAATTTTTACGTTGCATCAAATCCTTGACCTACGTCATACCCACCGTCGACCAACGATCACAGCGTTCCTTGACCTGAAAGGAGCCTTTGACTCAGTTGAGTGCGAAGCTCTAATGAGTTTCCTTCTTCGAAAAAGAATGCCCCAGAAGAACGTTGACCTACTGAGGTCACTGTACTCACATACCTCCGGTCGTGCAAGGGTTTACAATGAACTAAGTAGGCCGTTCTTCACGAGCAGCGGTGTTCGTCAAGGGTGCTCTCTTTCGCCGTTCCTGTTCAATTTCGTCGTAGACGAAATACTGGAGAACGCACTAGGTGGACTCCAAAGCGTAGGTATTGAATGGGCAGCTGAAGAAAGGCTGTGCGATTTAGAGTATGCTGATGACTTCTGTCTGTTTGAATATATGGGGGACGAGCAAAGCGCACTTGATAGACTGCCAAGTGCAGTAGCCACATTCGACACCCGCTTCGCAAATTCAAAGTGCAAATTGATGCTGTAGGATTGGGTTTCCTCTACTCCCGCCCTGAAACCAAATGGTCAGGAATTAGTTGGGGTGGATTACTTTTCCTACTTAGGTAGTTGCGTGACCAATGACGATAACGTAGCAAAAGAGATAACCGCCCGCATTTCCAAGGCTCGAGCAGCATACGCAGGACTGAAACACCTTTGGCGTAGACGAGGCGTTTCACTGAAGGTGAAAGGTCGCGTATATTGTGCCAGCGTTCGTTCAGTCCTGTTTATGGTTGCGAGACCACGGCGTTGCGACAATTGTATTATTTCGTTCACGTTGACGTGGGTAGATGCGGCTCTGGAAAAGGAAAACGCACTTCTGATGGTTCCTCTGAGTGACAGTACACATCTGAGGTTTTACCATGATCAAACAGCTCACAACCAACCGCTCCGAGCTACCCAGAGTAAGAGTTGTGTTGGGAGAAGAAACATGACCTACACGTGGTGGTGCTGCATATTGAGAACTTTCAGTAAAATGTGGTGCACAGTGAATGAAAAATGGAGCTGAGGGAGTTGGAGAAATCGAAGTGGAGTAAAAGATAAAGAGTTAAAAGTGGGGAACACGGAGACGGACGAGCTATTAGCGACCTTAGGCCCGGTGTTAGATACAATCGGGGAACGCTGATGCCCAGCATGCGTCAAGCTTCAGCTTGAACTCGGCAAAGGTTTTTGACGCCACTACCTCCTGTGGCAGTTTGTTTCATGTATAAATTACCCGGTGCGAAAAAAGGTGGCTCTCAGACGTTTGAGTGCCCGAGGCTTATCTAACTTCATGCTGTGTCCCCTTCTGTTGGGTACACCACTCGGCTGAAGTAGGTAGGATATTCCCGGAGAGAAACCCATCAAGATACGGAAGGTTTCAATCAGGTCCCCCCTGAGCCTTCTCCGATTGAGTGAGAACAAGTTCGGCCCCTGAAGGCGTTCGGCATATGTCACTCCCCGAAGGTGTGGGAACATGCGCGTGAACCTCTGCGCCCTTTCCAGAACCCTTTGGTCCTTCTTCAGAGTAGGGGACCAAGCTTGTACGCAGTACTCAAGATGCGGCCGAACGGAGGCCATGTAGAACGGGACTAGCACGACAGGATCCCTAGACGTCACTGTGCGCTTCAACGTGAACAACGCTCTATTGGCCGTACGTGCCGCAGCAAGACACTGGGCAGAGGAGTTAAAAGCGGAGTTCAGAGTGACCCCTAGGCCCAACTGCCATAGCATCCTCGTCGCGAGATCCCATGTAGCGTGGCCCAAAACCCTGAGCGCTCCCGGCTCGTAGGATCTTACACTTTGCTGCATTTAAAGAGAGACCCCACTCTGCAGACCATGCTTGTACTGCATCTAGGTCAAGCTTAAGGTCTACCACCTGATGCGAGCCAAGTAGTTTAACGTCGTCTGCGAAGATGAACGTCGGGTTCGATAGACGGGGGACTAGATCATTGATGAAGACCAGAAACAACAATGGTCCAAGCACCGAGCCTTGTGGGACCCCGCTATAAGTGTGCCCGCATTCCGACCAATCCCCCTCCACCCGTACGCGAAAGGTTCTCCCTGTCAGGTAGCTCTCAGTCCACCTGACTAAACTAGGGTGGATCCCTATCGATCCTAGCTTGGCTAACAGCAGCCGATGGTTTACGAAGTCAAAAGCCTTACTGAAGTCTAGATAGCCGACTTCGACTCCCTCCCCTCTGTCCAGCCGCTCAGTCACTGCATCTGATTAATCTTTCCATGACCTTTAGGATCATGGAGAGGAAGCTAACGGGCCTATAGTTAGTGGCCAACTCCCTGTCGCCCCCTTTGTGGATGGGGGCCACAGTAGCTACTTTCCAGTCCCGTAGCAATGTGGCTGCCGCAATGGACAGATGGAAGAGGCGAGCTAACGGGGCTGCCAGGATACTCCCTAGAGGACTCAACATTGCCGGGTGGATTTCGTCCGGTCCCGCCGCTTTTACCCTATCTAAACTAACCAGGGTCTTTTCCACCTCCTCCAATAGGAAAATAATTTCCTCCATCAGCGTGGATTCTGCTGGCTGGTGCATGGTTTGCAGGATGCCCTCAACCTTCGTGTGTACGCTCTGGTAGTGCTCACACAAGATGATGGCCTTCTGGGAGTTTGTCGTGGCGGGGGTGTTGTCCTTTTGCCTGATACAGCCGACTGCTTCCCTTGTAGTCGACTTAGACTAAATATGCCCGTAGTAGGCCTTAGGGTAGCGCTTTGCTTTCTTGGCCAGGGAAAGCTCGAAAGCTCTTTTGGCATCCAGGAGGATGCGGTCGAAAGACTTTCGTTCTCGTAAGTATTGAAGATGTCTAAGATAGCCTCCTGTGGCACAGAGTCGTTGCCGCGCAGCCCGCTTTCTAACTAGGGCTTTTTTCACTCGACTGGACCACCAGGACGGGATACAGGGGGGGGGGAGAGTCAGCAGGTTATCCCTGATCAACTCCCACGACTCCACAGTCTCATAGTTTGCTTCTGACCAGAACATGGTTTGAGCCGCAGCCTGGAGATATTCGGTATTCATGTGCCCACAGCGTCGCCTCAATTTGACTTGAGAAAGCGGAAGAGCACCGGATACTAGCGTGGTCACTTCTGCCTAGCGGTGCACCTATGGCAGTGATCCTGATATCATTCCTGCTTTGGTAAACACAAGATCTAAGGTGCTAGGAGAGTTATCCAGTCGCTTCCAGGCGGGATCGGTGACGTGCTGGGTGAGCGCCAATTTATACATCATCTCTAGTAGCTCATCCCCAAAGCTGCCAACTGGCGCATACTCCATCTCCCATTCGATCTCAGGAGCATTGAAATCCCCAAG